GAGATGTGGGGCCACTTCTGTGTGATGGGTAGGGGTTGGGGGGAGATGTGGGGCAGCTTCTGTGATGGGTCAGGGTTGGAAAGGGAACTGTGCGGCCGCCCCTGTGTGTGGTGAGGTGTGTTGGGGGGAGTGGTGAGGCAGCTTCTCTGATTGTGGGATCTGGGTGGGGAGCTGTGGAGACCCCCGGGGTGACATGGGGGAGCCGTGGAGGCTGCCTGTGTGTGACAGCAGGGTCCAGGCAGAGGGAGCTCTGAGGGTCCCTGTGTATGGGGCAGGGGAAACTGAGCATTGTTCAGTTGGGACGGTGAGATCTGGGTGAAGGGTGCTGGGGGCTTTTGGGCAAGGGGCTGCGTGTGACAAAGGGGCCAGCATGGGGGAAACTGGGGAGTTTTGGGGCAAGGGGAGGTGTGGGGGACCTCTGTGTGTGGTACTGGGGTCAGTGCTTTATGGGCTGTCAAGGTGGGGACTTCATTGCTGTGCCTTTGTAGAGGAGGGCAGGGGGGACCAGAGGACAGGTTAGACTCTGGAGGTGAAAACCTCACGCCCAAAAAGAGACCAAACCTCACTTTTAATTCAGTGCCCTAACAGTGCAACTTCTGCAGGAGGATAAGGTTCAGGGAGAGAGGTTGGGGGCGTGAGGGTTGGGGAGAGGGTTTCCTACAGTTCCCTCTGTGAAAGGGGCTCAAACAGCATGAAAAACATGTCAAAAAAAACAAACAAACAAACAACAGGCAACATGTTCTTGTCTCATTCTTCCAGTGATCCTGATGTTAACTGTTTCAGAGCTGTTGAATCACTGTACCAGCAAGAAGCAGGTAACGTGCTGTGGGTTGGTTGTGTTTTTGTGGGGTTTTTTTTTAGGAGATAGTAATGTGTGGTTGAGTTATTTAGCCTAAAAGGCAATTTTTTTGTGTGTAGCCACCTAGTGAAGATTTACAGGACAAGTTAAGCGAGCAGCAGGAAGGATCAGTAGCATATTTTGGTGATGAGTCTGAAATGAAGGGTTTTTTTTTCAGTAAAAAAGCTGCAGTGCTGCTCACCTTTCTTTCCTGTGCCTGGAGGAGGCAGGAACTTTGCCTCTTGCTTCCAAATGATGTTATCTTTCAACAATGAGGTGACAGTGCTGGCTGTAGAGCTCATCAGAGAAATATTACCTATTTTTACTGGTTAAAAAGAATCTGCTTTTTATTTTTTAGCATGCTAAACACAATTCTGGCTGAGCGTGAAGCCATTTATGTAATTTATTTTGGAGTACTGCTTTTGTTTCCTTGAATCTCATGTTGACTGAGGGTCTTCCCATATCAAAAATGATAGATTTTGTGTTTTCTCTCTGTTTCTTCCTACAGATAATGACACCAGAACAGAGTCCAGCAACTTCCCTCATTGACAGGACCATCAAGATGAGGAAGGAGACTGAGGCACGGAAGGTGGTCTTGGCCTGGGGGCTCCTCAACGTCTCTGTTGCTGGCATGATCTACACTGAAATGTATGGGAGTTGTTACATCTGCTGCAAAACACCAAAATCTCTACTTTGTAGATCCCTAAAGATTCCCCCAGGCCTGAATTGTTGCCAAATGGTCACTTCTGGTTTTCTTTTCAGGACTGGCAAACTCATAAGCTCCTATTACAACATCACATACTGGCCACTCTGGTATATTGGTGAGTTGTGGCAGCATTTCAATTCATTTTCAGGCTCCTTTTCTTTTTTCACTTGCCAGTTTTATTGCCAAGGAGGTAATTTTTAAGCAAGCCTTTTTTTTTTTCTCTCCTTGGGTCATTTTTTCTTTCCTTGGGGCATTTTTTTTTTTTTTTTTTTAATTTAACCCCAAACTTTGTTTTCCTTTCTGTTATCTCCCTTCAAACTGTTGGGATTTCACCCTTTTTAGTGACAGATAAGGAGTGTGAACAGCTTAGATATATGCTGAAAAGGCACCCAGCACTTGTGGGGTGCATTGAATCTGTTTAATGTGTGGAGAACCTGCAGCTTTGACTGCTGGGGGTGTGGGTGCCACTTCATAATTAAAGCTTGAGTAGAATTGGTATGTGTCAATATTAAAGGATGAAGTGAGAAGAGGATAAAAATTATGTGAGGAGTGACAGAAGGTTATTTTTGAGTAATACTGTGAAACTTCCATGCAGTAGTTTGTCTCTTTTGGAAAATGACTTTCTGTTTTTAAAAATCCAATTTTAGCAATAGAAATTAATCTCAATATAGAAAAGAAAATTATCTCCTATGATTCTTGCATAAGATAATGAAATCTTAGACACATACCCAAATTAATACTCACTGGTAGCACTAATAATGACCTGTTTTTAATAGACACAGACCTGTTTTTGCAAAGAATGTGCTTTTGTTATTCCCCATCCTCAAGCTGTGGTAAAAACTTTTGTGTTTCTTCTAGAACTTGTGTTTGCAGCAGTGTTCAGCCTGAATGCCTTGTTTGATTTCTGGATGTACTTCAAATACACCGTGGCACCAACAAGCTTGGTCATGAGTCCTGGCCAGCAGACCCTGCTGGGCTTGCAGAATGCAGGTGGGTGTCATGAATACTCCCTTTTTTTGTCCTTTTATTTTGTGATTCTGGATGGGATCTTTCTCAGTTCTTTAGTGAATCCTGAATTACTTCATCTGGCACAAAGAGTAGACAGAATTACCTGCAGTGTATTAAAATTCATGACATCAAGTGGTAATTTTATGGGTGTTTTTAGGGACAGTTGAGGAGGGAACACACAGTGAAGAAGGGCAGGATGATAGCAGCTGCTGAAGGACTGAGAGATTCAAACTGGGGAGCTGGACAAGGAATTTGGAAACTAGATGTGGGACTAGGAGCAAGGCAGAGTGCAGGTTTAGATTTAATTTTAATATTTTACAAGTAGCACGGTGGGTAACGAGAACCAAATTAGAGGTTCAGCCAGACCTTTGTGTGAGCTCTGAGATGACAGCCCAGAGAGCTCTCCAGAAAAAGTCTTTAAAGACAGCAGAACCTGACAAGGTAAATAAACCAAACCCAAACCAGCAGCACAGAATTACTGCAGTCTCCTAGTGTACCCCCAGGAGATGGGAAGCAGATGGGAGTGGTGCTGGATCACCAGAGTTGCAGGATGTTTGCACAGATAAATTCAGCCAGTCAAGGTGCTAAAGATGCATGTGGGGGTGGGTAGAGTAGCTGATGGGACAAGTTAGAGAACATGGGTTGTGTGGGGTGCCTGGTAACTGAATTTAGCTGAAATCAGAATTGGTCCTGAGCTGTGGCTGTACATGTCACTCTTCTCTTTGTGTCCTGTTGCTGCACTGGCTGCTGAGTCCTGCAGGAGCCAGATTTTTTTCCCACTGTCTTTTTAAAATTTACCATAGAGTTGCTATGGTGGGGAGGAGAGTCTGGGGCTGCTGCCTCCACAGAGCTGACTCTGCTTTTCCTCATTGCAGCTGTACAAACAACTCCACCACGTGAGCTGGCAGCAAAGAAAGTCCCATCTTCCACCCCTTCCCCTCCCATCCAGGGCCAGAGTGTGCTGAGCTACAGCCCGTCCCGCTCCCCCAGCGCCAGTCCCAAGTTCACTGCTGGTTGTGTCACAGGCTACAGCCCTCAGCTACAGGCTCTGTCCAACAGCCCTTCCTACAGCACCACTGCAACCTACTCACCAAGCAGCAGCTACAACAAGGTACTGACCAGAGCACAGCTGGGTCCTTGTGTTGGACTAGGTGCCATCAAAGGGGAAGCAGCAGCCCCTGGAGAGTCGTGTGTTTGTGTTTTTGTTCCTTTTGCAAATCAGGGGGAAATCTGTTGGGGTTTGTCCTTTTCCCCTAGTGTCACTTCATTTCTTCTAGAGTGGCTAGTTTGTTTAAGAACCAAGAAAAAATGGGGGGCTGGAGCGGGGCCAGAGAAGGGAAACGGACCTGCCAGGGGAAGGTCTAGAGACCCAGAGTCGG